AATGAAACCCTCTGGGCTTGGAGGACTAATTTCCACTTTGCTTGAGATAGTGTGCGATTTGGACGTCATCCCCCTTTTGTTCTCTTGGCTAGCACTAGCTGCCCAATTCCTGTTATGAAAACCATGACGAAGGATATGATGAAACGACACTCGACGAGGACGTCGGATATTTTTCTTGCTTGTACTTACTGGCAAACCAGCGGACTCTTTTTGGAGGCTCCGGCGGTGTTGTCGAGAAACGGAAAAAAGGACTCCTCACTGAAGGACGCCACCAAAAAGGCAAAAAAGACAAAACAAACCTAGTGTCAGAGCCGGGAATCAGAACCGGTTTCTTTAGACGAATGGAAACGATCTTTAGGCATACTGCTCACTGCCCAACTTCGTATTTTGTGAGGCCCGTTGACGTCAACTGACGCATGCTTGTGCCATCTTGTGTGATATTTGGCCGCTGGACGGCGAATAACTCGATGGCCTCGACGATGTGCAGTCGAACCTACATGAAGCGATTCGATGAGGACAGTCGGAGAGTAGAGGTGGCTGGGCCTATTAGAATAGGCCAAGGCGGGTGTGTAGTCTGCTGATTTGGTGCTGATTTGGTGCATGTAGCCGAAGTGATGTGCGGGGTGATGTGTGACAGAACAGGATGTCTCTCGTGCCGTCCATTCGTTTGCACTTGGGTCAGCATTGGAAACGATAGACGTAGGTACCTTTGTGATTGTTTTTGCTTCGCTGTCCCAAGATGTTTGGTCCCATCCTCCTACGTCTTGGTGTTTATTTGTTTATTTGGGATACACGATGGGCTGGGTATGCAGATCGTGTTGTCTGGTTTGAGGCTCTGAATGGCTCGGTTTCGGCTTCGGATGGGGCGGTTGGAGGTTTCGCTGCCGACAGGAGTCTAGGTAAGTCTAGAGGCCTGAGAAACGGAAGACGGGGGAGGAGGATGATTATCGTCTGGCAGGTTGGTCATCTCTGCGGGAGAAGAGCCTTTCCTAAGTGACCTCAATGAAAGATGGAAGACTGTGATGGGATTGTCGACATCTTTCACACCTGCAGGTTTTTTTGATGCCCCGCGAAAGGGTGTCTGAGGTAGGGCAAAGGATTGAAAAAATATGCCGCAGTATTCCGGGTAAAAGTCGCAGCGGGCTTTTTTTTTCCTTGACTAGGAACTTGATTACACTACTAGAAAAACCATTGGGTGAATTGAGCCACTCGGCCGAGAAATAATCCAGATGGTCAGGTCAGGTCCAGGTCAAGCTTGACTTTTGCGGCGGGGGACGGGGACGGAGGGGACGGACCGGTTCCATCGCCGGCCGCCACATCGCTGCTTCATTCTGCCCACCTCACCCACCCTCTCAGACACAGTTCGTCTCGAGAGTCCCGGATATCCGGCTCGAACCGCACAGTCTCTGAACCGTGGGCGTTGCAGAGACACCTTTCCTGTCTCACGGCCTCCCAAGCAAGAAACAAAAGCCAGTTTTTGTTGCACGGAAAAAGCACCCCCCCACCGGTTCGGGCCTCCGGTTGGGAGTGAATCCTCGTTCCCCCCTCCGGCTCATCTCAAATGGCGAGCGAGCGAGGCGATCCGTCCCGCGAAACGAAACGCGGTTCATGGGCGCTGGCCATTCGCATGGAACGGCCGATATGGGCAATTTGTAGGAGAGCATGCATTCTAATGCGATGAAATGTTTCGTTACAGGTGACATTGTTCAATGGTTCGCCTTCGCCCGGCCGGAACCCGAAGCACCCGAACGAAAAGCGCGGTCCGTCGTCCGGTCCATTCTTGATTCCCTAATGGAGAAGGTAGACCCTTTTTGTGCTCATGGTTTTAGCTCGCAGACGATGTGTGTCTCTTTCAAGCAAGGTATCCATTATTTTTATCTTTAAGCTTCAATAACGATTCAGGCTTGGGTGCTGGTTTGCTTCTCCTGCACCTGAGGATTGTGTAAATTGCGGCGGGCAGTGGTAGTGCTTCGCGGTCTAGCACAGCTCTGACGGATGGTCTGTCTGTCTGTCTAGTGGCATGTTCTAATTGGCCAATTGGTTCAGCTAGCTGGCACAGCTGTCAGCCTAGAAGTCTGCCACACACACGCACACTCACACTTGCCTGGGGGAAAGTCTCCGGGGAAGGGGGAGGGAGGGATCATCAGCCAGCCCGTCTGCCTTGGACCATCCTTCCCCAGAGTCGATCGATCCCAAGAGGATGGGAACGGCCACCTTCGATCTGCAGGCTGTGTGTGCGTGTTACATCACTCTCCTCACGCCAGGCATCACTGGTTGAACCACCGATCCTGCCGACTGCTTTTGGGAGCGCAAACGGAGTAGTTGACTACTGACTGTGCCGCTCCTCCAAATATTGGCAGGGAGCGGTGTCTTTTCCATCCATCTCACGCAGCCCGACGATGTCTGTCTGGTCTTACGCCCGGCTTTGCTGAGTTCGCTGCTGCTGTCTCTCGCCCTGCGGCGCGCGCGCGCCCTGCGGTGGAGTGTTGGCGCCGTCATGCTGCCCATCCCCCCCCCCCCCTCAATTAATAAACACCAAGACATTGGGAGAATGAAAGAGAGATACAAGGACTCTTGGATTCCAATGGGTTTGAATTCCCCAGTGTGCGTTCCTCATCTGCTAGCCCATGCCCCCAAGGCCTCCAATGTCTTGTCCTCCGATCCGTCACAGCCGGCCGAGACTGTTGGCGTCTGCGCTGCTGAGTTTGAGCATCTCCGGCGCCATTCTCCGCCTCCTTCGCGCCGTCTGTGACGTCGTACTGCACTCTAGCTCGACCTCTGAATAAAATTACAGAAATCCGGGGGAGGGACAGAATACGAGCAACGAGCGTTAATGACAGCGACCCGCGGAAAAAAAAACAAAAGGGGATCTACGTGACGGCTGTCGCTCGTATAAAACACGCACTTCAAATTTCCCTTTTGGTACGGCCGGGGCGCCAGGGGATGGCCCGTCTCCAGCTAGAGGTAGGGGTGGGAACCCGACCCGGGAAATCGGAGGTGTCGTGACAGAAGCCCCGAGCGCGTCCCCCAACACACGCGAGCGAGGTTGAGCGAGCGCGCGTGGTTTACCATGTGGTTTACTCCTGCGAACCATGTCAAGTCCGAGGCCAAAGGTAGGGAGAGCGCTGGCAAGCATGGAGATTGAATGGCTTTTCTTATTCCGCGAGGGAGAGAGAGGCATCCGCGAAGCTGCTTACCTCAAGATCGAGAACCGGGGGCATTGATTATAACGCGCTGCTTTGTAAGTAAGTCAGGCCCTGTCCCAGGGCGCCGTCACGTTAACCCAGGAAGCCCGTCCAAACGAAACAAACCCCCAATTTGGCACCAAATAACTAGCGGATCGTTCCCGAACGAACGACGGCGCCCAACCCCGTAAAAAAAAAAGCACCTTAATTAGCAGCTTGTTTAAATTACATCAAGCCCGGCAAACCCATCTTAACCCCCATCGGGACAAGGAATAGACTGGAGCATACGGACAGAAGAGGATGAAGTCGGACCCAAGCACTGCTGAACATTCGGGCAGGGGCAGGGGACAGGGACTCGCAGGGCTGAGCCTCTGCGTCCCTCGGGGCGGTTTTTCTCTCTCGGGGACGTGATTCCCGTTGCCTGCTTCAACCTCTGTGACCTGGGCAGACAATTCCCCTAGGAAGTGTCCAGCTTGAAAAGCACTCCAGCAAGATAGATGCTCTCTCGGGAAGGATGTGAAGCCACCACCGTCAAGCCAAGCCGTTAACCCAGCTTTACCCAAATCCGGCCCAGAAGCCACCAGAAACGCCGTTCGTTCGTTCATGCAAAATAAGCCACTGACCGAATCCCCCAACGATCAACAAGGTCAGGTCCATTCGGGCATTCGCTTCTCTAATAATGGCTGCCTACCTACCCAGTTCCGCCGCAGCGCCCCTCCTATCTAACCCCCCGGTCCGCCCAAAAATGCGCCCACCCCAAAGCTCCGGCGGTGGTCCCCTTGGCGCACGGAGCCGGCTCGCGCATCGATGGGGGCCCCCCTCACCCTCTCATGTGTCTTTGCATTCCTTATTCTTCGCCCGTCTTACACAAGGTAGGTAGGTAGACAGGTACATTGGATACCTCACATTGTGAGAAACTCAATTCCAATGCAAAATCAGAGCAAAGAGCACGAGAGAATGCGCTGACAGCGCCGGTGTCACGGCTGAATAGAACAGAAGAATCCGAGCTTGCGAAAAACTTACCTACCTAAAAGAGGCAATACTGTGTAGTCCAAACTCTCGGCTCATGCGAGACCTCGACACGGAGATCGGACCAGGCACCGCGTCCAAGCTTTGGGTTTTTGTACAACTCAGAATGTCCGGTGGTCACACACACACACACACCATTCTGGTCGCATGCCCTCTTTCCAGTCATGTCTTTGGACGCCGCGCCCCCCCTCCCTAGGCCGCTACGCCCGGCTTATGCTAGGTACATACTGCTGCTCCGGGCCATTGACAGAGGGAAAAGGGAAGGGAGGGAAAGCGGGGTGGTAAAGTCTATAATATCGTGTCAGACCGCACCACCACACCCTCGCTCTGCTTTTCTCGTGTCTCGTTCTTTTCGTATGCTGGGGATTTTGCATTAGATCATAGAGTCTAAGACTTCATCTAACACACAACACCTCCAAGCTCGACTAGCACGGTGCAGTGGGAAAGCTGACTTGCTTACGACATAAGCTGTGTATAATCTCACCAACGAACGAACTTCACAGCTTCACACGACCACGACGTCACGACGGCAACATCACACGTACACACACGTACAAACACAGGCGCGGATTCACGAGGGAGAATCACACGACGGCATCACATCAGCATCAACATCACAGAATTAACAAACAACAAAATTTCTCCAAACAGAACATCTAGTATCTTCAATTCGGGGAAAAAAAGAAAAAAAAAAGTTCCTCTTTCTCCCCCCACCCGGAAAATCTGATCAAAAAACTATATACATCTTTTTTGGGTTCTCCCACAGGAACACAAAAGGAAAAAGTTATGGCTCGTCTGAGTGTCAAGGTCCTCACACAACTCCTGTCGGTCGCCGGATCAGCCGTCGGCAAAGCGACGCCGTCATCATCATCGCTGACACCGATCACCACCGCCTGCGCGCGCGTCGAGGCACCCGCGTCCTTGACGTGGCTGCTGCAGGATCAGCCCTTTGAGCAGGAGGACCCGAGTTCGTTTTTTTACGTCAACCAGGATATTGACGCCACAGGTAAACCCCATCCCTCCGTATGATGTCGGACCGGGAGTGCTAATCGAGAGTAGGTAACAAGGCCAACCGCGTCGCGCAGCTCGTGACGTTTAGCTCGACGTCGTCGATCGCAGACGAAGATGCGGCACCGACGACGATGACCCCGTGCCAGCTGCTCTTCGCGATGCCCGAGGACTCGGAGAGCTGGGAGCTGATCCAGCGCGAGGGCGCCGCGGAGCTTCGCGTGTTCCGCGTCCCGGAGGCCGCCACCCTTGCCGACGTCGACAACGACGCCGTGCGCCAGAAGAGGAACCTCGTCGGCGCGGTCAAGGTCAAGCCCGGCACGCAGAGCATCGACCTCGGCCGGTGCGACGGCGGCGGCGGCAGCTTCGTGTTCGAGCTGGCGGACGCAGGACGCAGCCGCGTCGCGTTCCGGCAGGCGTCGAAGCCCGGGGAGGGGTTTGGCGTGTTCATGGGCAGCGGGTGTGCCGCGCCGAAGAGGGAGGTTCCCGAGGATTTGTGAGCGTGTTTAGGAGGGCCGTTTATTGACGGAGCCGAATGATTAAAAGAAGATTTTCTCGGGGGAGGAGGAAGGGGAGGGCGGGTTGTTTTTTTGGTTTATCGTTTGTTGGGGCCGGACTCTTGGTGAAAACGTCCACCTGGGAACGGTTTCCACTGACGTACGACACTTCCCTCTTCACTCCTTAGAAGACCTGCGCGGTGTGCTGCTGCGCCATCCTCTGCGTGCGCAGATGCTGCGGCCTTTCCCGGCGGGAGTTGCTCCTGCGGATGGCCGGCGCCGGGCCGATCTCCATTACCAACGGCACCATGAGGAAGTTGTCCAGCTCCCTGCTGGCGGTGGTGTGAGGACACCTGCGCTCGCCGACGGCGGCACGGTGGCTGTGGAACGAACACTGGCGGAAGCCGAACTGGCGCTCCTCGTTGCGGAGCTTGTTGGCCGGGATGCGGAGCTGCGGGTTCTTGATGCGCGTGTCGAGCTTGCTGGACTTCATCTTGCGGAGGTGGGAGGTGTAGTCGGCGGCGAAGTCGGGGAAGCGCTCGAACATGGCCTGGAAGCGGTCGAGGCCGCTGGCGTCGGCGTCGCTGTGGTATGAGGAGGAGGTGGCGCCGCCGGCGACGGACCAGGCAACCATGGCGACGGTCCACCTGCGCAGACGCATGGCGGCCGGCGAGTCGCAGTCGCCGTAGGCGTACTCGACGAAGCGCGGCGTGACGTCCCAGTCGCAGCGGAGGTAGATGTCCTGGAGGGCGTCGATGGCGAGGTCCTGGAGGTGGTGGAGGTCGAGGCGGGCGGCGAAGATGTGCAGGCGGACGAGGGCCCAGTGAAGACGCTGGCAGGGGACGCCGGGGGCGTCGCTGACGAGGGTGATCATCTCGTCGAGGTGGCGGCGGAAGCCGTCACGCTGGTGAAGCCAGACGACGAAGAGGTCGAACATGGAGGCGGACTCGTTGGGGAGGCGGATGGTGGAGTTTTGCTGCGGGAGCCATACTTGGACGGGCTTCCCTGATGTGTTGACGATGCCGGCCGGCGTGGCGTCGAGTTGGTCCTCGAAGAAGGGGGCGACGTTGCTGAGCATCCTCTTGTTCACGCGGAACTCCTTCATCTTCTCGCCTCTGCCGACGAATACGCGGGCCACGTTCTCATCCTCGCTTGATCTGAGAACGAGTTTGTTAGTCGTGTGTGTTGAGGTGGCAGATCAGGGGTAGACGACTTACACATTGCCCATTGAAGGGTTGGAAAAGATAGCCTTTGGTCTCGACATAGGGGCCATTGTGATGATTTATGGTAGTGCTCAGCACCAGATATTCGAGCTCAGCTCTGTAATAAGAAAGTAGAACAGACACACAAGAATAAAGATACTAAACCAAGGAAAAGAAACCAGTTGAAGGCCGTGAAGACGTGATGCGTTGCAATGACTCTCCCAGAGAGCTTGAGAAGAGGAAAGAGAGCAGATCACACACGAACTCCTGACCCAGAACCGAGGAAAGCTCTCCCGTTATGAATTGCTTCAAGTGCCCCCGATGCAACTCCAGCCAGGGCAGAGCAACAGCTTCGAGCATGGGAGAGCATGGGAGGAGCATGGGGCCAGCATAGGACACGGCATAGGATGGAACGGCGTGGTGGAGAGCATGGGATGGCGGCATGGCGCACGCAAACTCCGCTAACACAGTCTAGCACGAAACCCCCTTTGTCGTCTGCCAAGCGCAGTGTGCGAATAAGCTTATACGTGATAATCGACGTTAAGTCGGTTTCAGAAAGGAGGGACAGCTGTGGCTGGCTCCGGTGCTTACTGCTGGCATCTGGGGCTCGTGCCGGGGTCCGCCGGGGCGGCTTCCTGGCAGCTCGCCTTAAGAGAAGGCTGATATGGGACAGCGGTTCACGAAAAAGACGAGATGTCGTTGCTTGGGACGGGCAGGGGTCGCGGTTTCAAACGTCATTGTCAAACACGCTGTGTGCAGTGGTGTGGGAGTCGTGCCGCGCGAAGTGTACCCTCGACATGGCTCGACTGCTTCAGGTGACAGGGTTGCGGGCTGTGAGCCAGTGTTTTTTTCGCGGGCAGACAGCTGTAGCGGAAGCTTGGGGCAGCCTTAGCTGTGGCTGATATAGGACCGGGGTGCGGTGCTTGGGCTTGGGTGCATTTCTTGACGTTCCCGCAAGCCCTTGTCAAGAACCGTCTCGTCTGTGCAGACGATCTCTTACCAGACCGGTCCAAGGGGATTGGAGTTGCATCCAGACACTCTTCTGTGAGGATGCCGTAGCACACGCGTGGGTTCGGTGGTAGCGTACCAGCTTGGCTGTCAATCTCACCCACAGACGGCACAGAGATGGTATCACGGCTCCTATTTTTGGTGGCGTTTTTTTTTTATTTTATTTTTTTTATTAAACTCATGGCTTGAAATGTTTTGGACGAGCAAGCCAGACGAAGAGTTGAGGCGTCTTGTGTCGTTGTTTCCTTGTCAGTTGTGGCCAATAAACAAGCTAAGCAGGTTGTGAGAAGGATTGTGTTAGCTCCCACAACCCCGGCTATAACGGAATGAAACTCGTTGAAGACAGCTCCGCTTGCGCGCGCGCGAGGGCATCGTGGCTGGCCTCAGTCGCCCGCATCACGAATCACGGCCGCCTGGGCCTCGAGTTGGTCTTTTGCAGCGCTCAGGTGTCATTGAAAAAAAGGAGGCATCTCAATGCGCATGACCATGACCATGACCATTAACCGGTAGATGTGCAATGATCGTAGCCAGCATCGAGGATCCGTTTGTTCTCGATCTTTTCGACTGCGCCCGCGATGCATTGTCCTCCTTCTTGCGGCCGTCCAATGTTGCTTGGATCGTCGAGGCAGTGCAACTCAAGGTCGCGGGATTTTCGTGCATCTTGACGCAAGTCAGCCGAAGAACGGATGCTAAGGCCCAGGCACGTATATCGCAACCATGGGACGTTTGGTTTCAGTCGTGGAGTTGGGGTTCGCTGGAAAAATCGAAGGCCCGTATTCACGAGCTCGTCTAAGAGAGGTTTGAAACCGGGCGTCGAACCGCGGAGTTGAGGCGAGCATGGCCGCGAGGAGTGGAAAAGTGCCACACTGCTTCTGCAAAGGGGGAGCCACTGAGCCAGGAGGCTGGCGCACAGGGCGATTGTCGGGCCGGGCGGCAGAATGCAGAGGCGGTGCCCATTAACAAGCCCAGTCAAGGGAGACCTGCAATATCGGGGGCAGCTGGCTCCGATGTGCCTGCATGGAGATGTGGAGTTGAGGGGTGTTTGAGTGGGAGGGACTCGGAAGGCTTGAGATTCAAGATTGCAAGATTGAGAACCCCCCGACCCGACAGCGACCCCGACACCCGTGTCCGACCCCCGACCCGTAACCGTACCTGGTAACAAGAGGAAGAACCGGGAGCAAGGGTCTACCGCAGTAGTCTGTTTTGCGCTTTTTTTTTTTTGATTTTTTTCTTGTCGTCGTCTCTCTTTCTCTCCAGCTGGAGACAGGGTCCACGGAGTCTCCCAGGCGAGGCGAAAAGACTCCGGTCCTCTGCCGCCGCCCCGTCGTCAATCGTCGAGTCGGCGGGTTCTCGTCTGGGTCGTGTCTGGGTCAAGATTGGGTCCCTGGGTCTTTAGGTCGATCACGCCATTGCGGATTGCCCCAGAAACAACAAGTGTCGAGGCCACGGCCATCGCGGGCGATTGTTTGCCCAAGATGTTTTGACAGCGACAGACCAGACGAGGGGCATTGATGATCTTCAGAAGATGGCGGTTGACGTCGGGAGCTCCCACGACGATCAAGCAGCGGTCGAGACTGGATTAGATCATTTTAGTGTACCAACAGGCGCCGTTGAGCGGTGACGAGTGGCGGATTGACTGCAATTGGACTGGACACCGTTTGCGAGAGAGGAAAAAGAAAAGTTTGGGTGAGAGCTAGGCCGTCTTCGAGACACCCGCCACGACGTCAACGTCGGCTCGATTGAACGGTGAAGAATTCATCCAATCGAGAGAAAAGACGCGCGTGAGGGTAAGACATGGCTGTCTGAGCTGAGGGGGAGGTCGAGGAATTCGTCGTGATGCATCACCACCTCAACACTTGTTGGATAGCTCGAGGAGGACCCTGGAGATGTCTCCTTGCTTCGTGCTTGGATTGCAGCTTGGTGAGGTGAGCTTCGCTGGACCACATGTGCTTCACAGCAGTGGTAGTGGCCAATGGGAGGCAGGGACACGCAGCTGCCCGCGCTTGCCCACAAAAAAATGGCTTTAAGCTCGTGGGATCCTGAAGTGTGAGGCAAGAAGGTGGCCGTTGGCTATCTCTGGCTCCGATAAGGCAAAATCTGAATCCCACCATTGCCCACACCGCCCTTCCATTTCGAGGCAGGTCCCTTGCGTTCCTGCCGCCCTGTGGCGGGTTGGGCCAATCAGCGATCGCCTGCCCCTCCATACCTGAGGTACCCTCCCTTTTCGCTTCTCGCCTCAGGCCTGCGGCCATTGTGTCTGCGTGTCTTATGCTGCATTGTCGCCGGTACGAACCTTAGCTGGCCTGACCTTGGCCTCTCATGCAGTTGTCTGACTCTCTGTGCCTTTTTTTGCTACAATCCTCGGTTTGGAGCACAGACAGTCAGAAGCGCAGAGCATGGGACATCGGGGAAAGGCAGGAAACGATGGGAAAAGCCAATGGAGGGAGCAAGAAAAGCTACACCTGGAGGTAATGGAGGTACCTTAGCTGTAGGTGAGGTAAGGTAGGGACAAGCTTGAGCACCTAGGTACAGAGGGGCACTAACAGAAAACAATGGGTGGCTTGCGGCCTCCTGCCGGAGCTCCCTCGCAGCTTGCGATAGTGCTTTGTACCCCGCCATCTTAAGGTGCCTCCCCAACAGTGGAGACCTCAAGCAAGATTCCCCCAATTGAGTCCCCCGCCAGCCGCCACGCTGCATTCTCACGAAGTGTCAGAGGCCACTTTCTCAAGAGCAATCTGCGACAACCCCTCCTTCCCTTTCCAAAGTACCCCACCTCAACGCTACTGTGAGGAC